TTACTGAAACCACGCCTTCTTTCTTTGCATGCACATTTGGGCGGTATTACGCAAATATTTCCACATCGTGACGTAGAGATGTGGGGGCGAGTTTGAATGAGGCGTTTTAGGCCGGTCTGGATCAGCCTTCTCTTTTAGATAGAATAAATCCTTTTGTGGGAGACTTTGAGCTTTGTAACTCTGCAGATCTTATACACACACAAATAGCTACATAACACATTAGAAAAGGAAAAATAGAAATCGCATCATATGACCCCTTTAAGGGTGCAAAATGTTTTGATATTTGATATAATAATACTGTATATGACTATGATTTTGAGTGGTACACATAGTTTACATTCACCTTAAGGTCCCTGTTCTGGGAGCAGATCCAGTCCTGGATGTAGCCCTTGGGGTCCCTGGAGAAGCTGAGCATGAAATCTCTTTGAATCTTCAGTTGGTTGATGGACTCAATAGTTTCATGGATCTAAAGAATAAAAAGTGAAAATGTGACTGTTAAGAGAACTCCAAATGTACAATCAGAAAATAATAGTTATGTATAGGGTTTATATGAAGTTGAATAAAACAGTATCTAGAAATTCAATTATTCTTGTTCCGGTGGCTTTCACATTTCAATGATAGAGCTCTTTCTGACCTTGTTGTCTAGGGATGCAATCTCTTGATGATTGGCTGTGGACAGCAGGAAACCATTCATCTGACTCTTCAGAGGATCATCAACTTCAACATCAATGTCATAGCAGGCTGTCTTCTTCTGGTCATTTGGGTCCACACTGATAAAATTACAATTAAAAAAGGCATTTAAAGGAACAGTTAATCTGAAAAGAAAAATTATATCCTTAGTTACTCACCCTTGTGCCATTGTAAAGCTATATGCTGTTGTTTTTTCAGTGTACAACACAATAATACATGACAACCTATAATGCTTTTTGGAGCGTCATGCTATGAACTTATGAAAAAATCCATTCAAAGAATGTGTACAGTATTACATACAGGATTGGAACATAATGAGGGTGAAGTTACATTTTCAAGTGAATTATCCCTTTAAATTCTAAAGAAAAACAGGCCCCTTAAATGTCCATTTGTGTCACAGGACTTAAAACTGCTATAGATTACATGATTGTAAGTTTGAGGAAAAAATAAATGGAAATACATTCTAAATTTATGACCAATTACCTGATAACATGATTGATCACAATCGGATCAGGCGGGAGCAGTAGATTGGTTAGTCGCTGGGGGATCTCACAAAACTTCAGACGAGGACAGTCAAAGATCTGGAAGAAATTTTTAAAAAAGCTTTTGCTATCAGGCAAAATATTAACACCAAAATGGAGAAAGTATTTTATGATATGGTAGTACCTGCTGGAAATATTTATCACAGTTGATGTACTCCTTTTCATGAGAATCCTGCAGCTTGTTGGTCTTGACGTACTGCCATAAAGCCTGGATGATGCAGGAGCGGGTTTGAGTGTGGATGCCAAGAAGACGTGCAAGGCGAGGATCCAACTTAAACTGAGGAGGCTGAAATGCACAATGGATAAAAGAAATGAAATAAACACATTCAGACATTTCTAACAGAACTGCACTGTTAGCCTTCTCTTTTAGATAGAATAAATCCTTTTGTGGGAGACTTTGAGCTTTGTAACTCTGCAGATCTTATACACACACAAATAGCTACATAACACATTAGAAAAGGAAAAATAGAAATCGCATCATATGACCCCTTTAAGGGTGCAAAATGTTTTGATATTTGATATAATAATACTGTATATGACTATGATTTTGAGTGGTACACATAGTTTACATTCACCTTAAGGTCCCTGTTCTGGGAGCAGATCCAGTCCTGGATGTAGCCCTTGGGGTCCCTGGAGAAGCTGAGCATGAAATCTCTTTGAATCTTCAGTTGGTTGATGGACTCAATAGTTTCATGGATCTAAAGAATAAAAAGTGAAAATGTGACTGTTAAGAGAACTCCAAATGTACAATCAGAAAATAATAGTTATGTATAGGGTTTATATGAAGTTGAATAAAACAGTATCTAGAAATTCAATTATTCTTGTTCCGGTGGCTTTCACATTTCAATGATAGAGCTCTTTCTGACCTTGTTGTCTAGGGATGCAATCTCTTGATGATTGGCTGTGGACAGCAGGAAACCATTCATCTGACTCTTCAGAGGATCATCAACTTCAACATCAATGTCATAGCAGGCTGTCTTCTTCTGGTCATTTGGGTCCACACTGATAAAATTACAATTAAAAAAGGCATTTAAAGGAACAGTTAATCTGAAAAGAAAAATTATATCCTTAGTTACTCACCCTTGTGCCATTGTAAAGCTATATGCTGTTGTTTTTTCAGTGTACAACACAATAATACATGACAACCTATAATGCTTTTTGGAGCGTCATGCTATGAACTTATGAAAAAATCCATTCAAAGAATGTGTACAGTATTACATACAGGATTGGAACATAATGAGGGTGAAGTTACATTTTCAAGTGAATTATCCCTTTAAATTCTAAAGAAAAACAGGCCCCTTAAATGTCCATTTGTGTCACAGGACTTAAAACTGCTATAGATTACATGATTGTAAGTTTGAGGAAAAAATAAATGGAAATACATTCTAAATTTATGACCAATTACCTGATAACATGATTGATCACAATCGGATCAGGCGGGAGCAGTAGATTGGTTAGTCGCTGGGGGATCTCACAAAACTTCAGACGAGGACAGTCAAAGATCTGGAAGAAATTTTTAAAAAAGCTTTTGCTATCAGGCAAAATATTAACACCAAAATGGAGAAAGTATTTTATGATATGGTAGTACCTGCTGGAAATATTTATCACAGTTGATGTACTCCTTTTCATGAGAATCCTGCAGCTTGTTGGTCTTGACGTACTGCCATAAAGCCTGGATGATGCAGGAGCGGGTTTGAGTGTGGATGCCAAGAAGACGTGCAAGGCGAGGATCCAACTTAAACTGAGGAGGCTGAAATGCACAATGGATAAAAGAAATGAAATAAACACATTCAGACATTTCTAACAGAACTGCACTGTTATAAAATATCCACATATTTAGTATATTACCACACTACAATTTACATTCAGTGTACTTGAGTAGTTGACATAACATGTCCATGAACATAATTCAGCAGCAAGAGTTTAGTTTAAAATTTACCATTTAAAAGTTTGGGATCAGTAAGACTTAAAAAAAATAAAAATAAATAATAATACTTTTATTCAACAAGGATGCATTAAATTGACAGTAAAGATATTTATAATCTCAAAAAAGATTTCTATTTTAAATAAATGCTGTTCTTTTGAGCTTATGGTTCTAAAATATTAAGTGTAAAAATATTAATGTTTTCAAGAAATGTTTCTGAAGTATGTAACACTGAAGAATGAAATTTCAGCTTTACCATCACAGGAATAAATTACATTTTAAAAGATATAAAATAGAAAGCATAGTTTAAAAAGGATTTCTTATTAAACTTTTGAACGTCAGTGTAACAGTATAAGGTATAAGTATAGCAGTATACAGTAACTGTACATCTTAGCTCCTATAATAATTTCTTTTACAATGTTTAGTTTGACCATTTATACCATTTTAATCACATTTCTGCCTTTGCTAATTTATTTAAATGCTTCCCTTTTTTATAATATGACTACTCAATTTAATCTCACAAAAACAATGTATAATGATTATAAAAGAGTTAAAACATTTTCTAGATGGTTATCGCATGTCGTTCATCTAGATATTGCTGAAACGACTTGAAATTTCATGTCAACTACACAATTGCAAATCTGTTTCATTGTCTCTTTTTCTAGATTTTAATATCCATTGTTTAAAAACAAAGCTTTAGTTTTCTGACAAACCAAGCCTCTTCCCATCAGGATGTAGTTAGCAAAGTGAAAATTGCTGTCATTAAAAGAGACATTTACTCACTAGTTATAGCTACTTTGGTGAATAGAGAAGGGCAATCAAACTTTTAGAGATTAATGACTCGACTATAGCTTTTCAAGATGGATAAGATAATTAAGCTAAAGCTATCGTTATGCAGATGAATTTCTAATTGGCCTTTCTCAACACATTTATTTCGTGCTATACATTTTGTACTTAATATATTTTATTTAGCTCACAAGTTGTTTAAATGTCTTAAAACGAAAACTTTATTTCTAGATCTAAATTAGGTTTTGAATCTCAGATTTTTAGTGTGACCTCAGACTTTTAGACCCCATAGTCGATTTTTCACATAGTTATCCTTTAAAGAGTTTGACGTAATGCCTATAAACCAGCTATGACATACAACTTCACTGGTAATCCATCAACCATAATCTCTAATAATAATCTGGCACTCCTGCACGCACCTGGTAATCCAGCATGAGCAAGAGGGTACAGCGCACATTCACATCGCCAGGCCTCTTCACCTGGAAGCCATCTGTCTCCTGGGTCGTTGCAGTGCGGTGCCACTGTTAGGATGAAACACAAACTCAGCCTAAACAACAGGCGTATAATATAAAACCGCTGCACGAGAAGCATACAGCAATTTCAAACCAGATTTTGATATATTCAGAAGAAAATCTGAGTAGTGTTTGCCTTTGTCGAGGGTGTTTGTCAGGGCATGCAGTTGCTAAGATATTCTTAGTGGTTGGTTTTTAGCAGGTTGCTATGCATTTACTAGTTGGTTGCTAGACTATTCTGGCTGGCTTTCTAGCCTTCTAGCCTCTATGATATTCTGGTTCCTAGATATTGTTGGGTCTTTTATTTAATGTAAAGGTCCATTCACACAAAGATTGATAACTTTAAAGATAACTATAACGATAACTATATTAGCGCCCACACCGATGCACAATAACATTCTGTTTATTCCAAGCGAGCGCTGCAGTTTTGTCATATGTCACTTTAAATGCTTAAGCTCTTTAAAGCAGGGGCCGGTTGCATAAACTGTTTAGACTAGTCTTAAAAAGTTAGTCATCTAATTTTTTTTCTTCAAGACTGGTAATAACTTTTTTAATTCAGTTATGAAAAGGCAGACTGGTCTTATTTGTATTAGAAAAGTAAGACTAATTACCCCTTGGCAACTGTTGGTCAAACTAGTTATTAAGACATAGTCTTAACATGGTGGCTAAGTTTATGCAACTGGCTCCAGGATTGATTCTGATTGTTTGTCAATGTTTTTATCGTTTACAAGCTGAGAAAAAAAACAAAAAAACATTTTGATAGTGATTCCAATAATATTGTTCCTCTGTGCCATTTTCACGAAAACTGTGCTATTCATTTATATTTAGAAATTTTTTTAAACGATATCTTTATCATTATAGTCCTTGGTGTGAAAGAGCCTTAAGTGTATGGTATTTTTTGACTGATTTATTGCCCACAAGGCAAAAGTTATAAATCTGACACCTTTTCTCAAAAAGCAGCACCAAAATGTAATATTTATGGTTGTTGGTTTCATCGCCGTAGCCAGCTATGAGGTCACCGAGGTCCGGACCTCTACAAATTTGTCATGTTCAAAAAGAAATTTTCTCTGAATTACTAATTTGCTGTTTAAAACTACTCATATGAGTGTCTGCATGTATAATTCATTTTAGACAGTTTGCAAGAATGTTTAGTGTCCGTGGTATGAAAATGATCGCTGCGAGAAGCTGGCGGAGTGAACCAAGTGAACGAGGCTTGAGAGAGTTGTGAGTGAGGGCGCAGGCGCAGCCTCTGAAGTGTTGCCAGATCCAGCTATTATAAGCATTTTTGGACTTTTCTTTTCTACTTAATTTGACATTTAGAAAGTTAATAAAGTGGGAAGTTGTATTTTATTTTATTTATCATTTACAAAAGATTTGAACTAATTAAGGTTTATTTTTTATTTATTTTTCGGTTTCATTTGTTTACTTGGCAATATCTGACACTTCAACTGACGGTAATCAAAAAAGCCCATGGACAGGAAACCACATTTTGTAAGGAAAATGCAAAAAACATCATGATATTATCTGTTAGAAACGTTATCAACGCTATCAAAAATAGTAGCATTTAACACTAGAACAAAGAATGAAATGAAATATGCAAACACTAGCCATGAAAAAGTCTATGCTATTTCATTCAGTATAGTAGTTAAATTTTCACAAAATCATGCTAAAACATTCATAAGAGCAGTAAACAAAGTTATCATCTATATAGCAATGGTTATGAAAACTATAACAGTAATATGCATTGCTTCATGAATAATAAACAACTGATAAAATTATCCACCCCTAACCTAGTAAAGTATTAACAAATTTTAATGCAATAAATACGGTATAATTTTACAGTATTCATCCCTCTAAAACAGAGAAAACATCTTCCACAAACATCTACATGTCTGTCTCTTTTAAAGTGTTCAGTATATATAATGAGTTGTATTTGTAGGGTTTATTATAGCACAATTCTTAACTCCACCCCAGACCTCACTAATTTTCAAACCCTGGTTATGGCCATGATGGGTTTGTTCAAATCAGTATGACTGACAGTATTACACTATTAGTGATATAACTTGCCTGTACATTATTTTTGAGCTATTGAGAGAGAGTGTCAAATCTTAAAATGACCCCCCCCCACCCCACCCCCCCCAAAATGTTTTATTAACTATGGACCTGCTTATGCACTGTTTATGCATGGACGAGACATTCAAGCATGAGAGTGAATAAAATGATTAGGCTCTTTATGCGATCTCACTTGCATTTTCCCTAAACCATCACATGTTTCAGTGCCATTTGAAAGAGACAACATAATGGCAATGACTCACAGCTCAACTCAATTAGCTTTGCTTGACATTGGAGGGTTTTTCAATGCCATCCTTCTCCGCAGGTAAATCATTCTTTTTGTCACACATGTGTGTTGTGATGAAAACCCACAGTCACCAAGGACAATTTAAAGAGCTGCTGAATGAATAAACCCAAATGCGGCGTGTTTAGCCCGTTCCAATGGGCCGGAGGGGCACAAGGGTCACTCCTTGAGAGCTGCAGACCACTTCTGTGTATCTGCATTCCCAAGACCTCAATGTCCCTAACAAAGTGCATAAATATTAAGTGCGCGAGGCAGCTGGGAAGGTTCCCTTGTGTAATGTAAATGCCTGAGTGTGTCTGAATAGCACCTGTGCACAATGGTTCCTCCACTAAAATAGAGTAAAACACACACTCTCTGAATACAAAGACTCTTAGGGTACTGTAAAAGGTTTTATAAGTGTTTGTCTTCAGAAATGCATTTCTTTTCTCCCGTTAATACTGCCCAAAGCTCTGTGCTGGCTGCAGTGTCATCACTCCACAGTGTCATGGGCAACTTCCTTATGTAACATGTTGCTATGGAGACCACAAAGATATGTCTTACATGAAGTATGGTTAACTGAACTTTTCATTCTGACATTGACTTTTCTACTACGTTCCAATCCAATCTGTCACACAGTACAGGCCAAGAGATTCTTGTGGACATGTACTTGAATGTGACATAATATGGCCATTTGTGACTGTCCTCAACCTTGTTTGAAATGCAAAGAGGACACTTGAGATTCTCTCATATGAATTGCTTCCAACTTTTGTAAAGAATGAATATCAAATATGGTTTAGCGATGTTTTTTATTGCCGTATGTAGAGTGAGTTACTTACCTCCACTAAGTGGTTGTCAGGACCGTACAGATCCTTATCCAGCTCAATAACAAGGCTCTTAAAGAAAGACGAAAACTTCCTCTTTTGTTTTCCAGGCTAAAGCGCAAAGGGAATAAAAGATAAAGCTTAAAAAAGGGACTTGCAAATTGAATGAAGCCTAAACAAACATTAGCATTGACAAAACAGTAACTTCCAAAAAATAAAAACATTCAATTAGATTAATTAAATTGTTCTATGCAATTAAATTAAGCCTTTTAAAGAAAAAAAAGTAATTTGGATGGATTTGTTCTAGCTTACGAACAAAAATACGTTTTGTTACGTCTGCTAGATGCAATGAAAAGGACTAAGTTGGATTCAGTAATTATTCATGCATGTATTAAATAAACTTCCATTAAACAAATGTCAACTGATTGTGTGCAGTGAAATTAAGTTGTGAAAAAATGGTCAGGAATTGTTACATTTGCTCATTTTAATTAACTAAATTGAACAATCAGCAAAAAACATTTTTTGACTGACATTTAAAATAATAATAACAATGGTTGCGGCAAATTAATTCAACGCTGAATTATAGAACAGACAGTAAGATTATTAAAGGGCACCTATTATGCCCTTTTTACAAGATGTATTATAAATCTCAGGTGTCCCCAGAATGTGCTTGTGAAGTTTCAGCTCAAAATACCCCACAGATCATTTATTATATCATTTTGAAAATGCATATTTTGAGTGGAAGCAGAAACAGGCTGTTTTAGTCCATTTCTCTTTAAATGCAAATGAGCTGCTGCTCCCCGCCCCCTTTTCCAGAACAGAGCTGTGCAATTTTAGCTCGTATCTCAGATCTCTGCCAAAAAACATCTGTTTGGTTTTGATTATCATGTATATCGTGCTGAAATCACGCGTTTTAAAGCCATTAAAAAACACAGTCGCTTATGTCTGTGAAGTTAAACAGCTGGGAAAGAAATCGAATGTCTATATTAGATCGGTGTATTAAGTGACAGCAGCATAATATACAGCACCTATACTGACCGCTGTTTGGGTCTACGCTGTTAATATGACCCAAACAATAAAATAAAAGCAGAAAATCACTCACTGCTCTGGACTGAACAACTTCTATAGCTCTAATAAGAAGACATTTCTTACTTGAACGCTGCTTTTAAATGCTCTGGCGTGAAGATAAACATGGCAGATAGTGTGTGTGCGGCTCACTGCTCAGTCAACTATTGTGGGTGGGGCTGGTAAAGTGTGATGTCACACTTTACGGATTCTGTGATCAGTAAGCTCTGAGACACTGCTCATGATTTATAGAGATAAAAAAAAAAAGGAGCGGGTGGATTTTTATCATTATAGGGTGGTTGTGTACACACACTGCCAACACACATTTATGTTAAAACAACATCTAAAAGTGAATTTTGCATAATAGGTACTCTTTAAGTCAAACTTACATCATCCAACAACTTGCCCTCTACACGCAGCTCCCAGGATGCAATGCTGCCCTCAGAGTCCTCTGCGTCAGGTTTGGCAGGGTTGAAAGTGTTCGAAATGTACAATCGTAGCTTCCGCTTTTGCTATAAGACAAAAGACAGTTTGAGCTGTACCTACATTTTTCATATTATTGCTGACTAGGAGTTAAATCTCACTATAATTGTGTACTGAAATCACATACCTTCATTGGTCTTTTGAGGGCTTCCTGTATATCCACCCTCTTCCTCATAATGGTTTGGTCAAGTTTGCGCTCAAAAGCTAGGAGGTCCATGTACGCCTGGGACTCTGGCACCAGTTCACGGATCTAATGAAAAGGCATTGTGAACAAGCAACTCTGCAATCAGGTCTAGTAACAATTCAATGCATCATTCATTGCAAGATGTTTTCAAAGCAGTTTGATGATAGTCTAAACATTTTCCCTGTAACTTTCTCATTCATTATCAATTTCAGTTATGACAGAAAATCAATTTGTGGTGCTAAAATTAGGTATGTGATTTTCAACTGCTTTTGTTTTCAGGTCCCATAAAGCAGAGACTAACACAGTAACAACATTCTTTATCATAAACTAAAAAAATCAAAAAAGATTATATAACTATAAATATAATATTTATATTATATAAAAAAATATTGTTGTATTTATAATTTATTATACACTATAATTAAGTTATTTATAAACCATTTTAGGTCACACTTTATTTTAAGGTCCAATTCTCGCTATTAACAAACCATTAACTACGACTTTTGCCTCAGTAAACTCCTAATTTGCTGCTTATTATTAATAGTTAGATAGTCGTTAAGCTTAGGTATTGGGTAGTATTATTGATGTAGAATATGGTCATGCAGAATATGCACTTTATAAGTACTAATAAACAGCCATTATATGAATAATAGGCATGCTAATAAACACATAGTTAATAGTGAGAATTGGTCCTTGTACTAAAGTGTTATCCAATTTTATAATAAATCTAAATGATTAAATTAAATCATTCAATTATCATATTTATATAATTCATTATTTATAATTAATACTACCATTAACTGTGCAAGTCCAACAATATGCAAATTATTAACATGAGGATGTCAATTCAAAATTTTGGTTTAAAAAATTTGAATTTCAGTTGTTTCATGCTTTTAGATAGACGAAAATCCCCTTCCTGAAATTTCCACTTCCACATTGTTAATGTCACAAACCATTTTTATCCTCAATACAAGTGAACCCATATTTAATGTTATCTTTTTTGCCTTATGATGATAACATGAAAGGTATTAACTCCATTCACCATAACTCCATTAGCAGTAATCATTACAGTAATTATTCATATTCTTACAAAGATATACTTTGTTGTAATATGGACCTAGAATATTGGTAAATGTAGACATATACCAATATTCCCGGCTTGCAAGATGTTTTCAAAGCAGTTTGATGATAGTCTAAACATTTTCCCTGTAACTTTCTCATTCATTATCAATTTCAGTTATGACAGAAAATCAATTTGTGGTGCTAAAATTAGGTATGTGATTTTCAACTGCTTTTGTTTTCAGGTCCCATAAAGCAGAGACTAACACAGTAACAACATTCTTTATCATAAACTAAAAAAATCAAAAAAGATTATATAACTATAAATATAATATTTATATTATATAAAAAAATATTGTTGTATTTATAATTTATTATACACTATAATTAAGTTATTTATAAACCATTTTAGGTCACACTTTATTTTAAGGTCCAATTCTCGCTATTAACAAACCATTAACTACGACTTTTGCCTCAGTAAACTCCTAATTTGCTGCTTATTATTAATAGTTAGATAGTCGTTAAGCTTAGGTATTGGGTAGTATTATTGATGTAGAATATGGTCATGCAGAATATGCACTTTATAAGTACTAATAAACAGCCATTATATGAATAATAGGCATGCTAATAAACACATAGTTAATAGTGAGAATTGGTCCTTGTACTAAAGTGTTATCCAATTTTATAATAAATCTAAATGATTAAATTAAATCATTCAATTATCATATTTATATAATTCATTATTTATAATTAATACTACCATTAACTGTGCAAGTCCAACAATATGCAAATTATTAACATGAGGATGTCAATTCAAAATTTTGGTTTAAAAAATTTGAATTTCAGTTGTTTCATGCTTTTAGATAGACGAAAATCCCCTTCCTGAAATTTCCACTTCCACATTGTTAATGTCACAAACCATTTTTATCCTCAATACAAGTGAACCCATATTTAATGTTATCTTTTTTGCCTTATGATGATAACATGAAAGGTATTAACTCCATTCACCATAACTCCATCAGCATTATGAATACAGTAATTATTCATATTCTTACAAAGATATACTTTGTTGTAATATGGACCTAGAATATTGGTAAATGTAGACATATACCAATATTCCCGGCCAATTTTGCAAACAAATCAAGTCAATTAGTCTTTGCCAACTGATTGAATATGAAACCATTACCAGATTTCACCAGGTGTTTGTACCACTCTTTACTAAGTCAATGACTGCTTTATATCCTGATTCTCGTTTGTGACTTGTTACTGAAACAAATCATGTATGTCCTTGCATGATACACAGCAAAACTGTAACCTGACGCGCCCCTGGTTTTCACAGCGTTGCATCATTCTCTCCTTCCCATGTGACCTCCAGCATTTTACAAACCTCATCATAATGAATTAGGACTTTTCGGTTTGGCTGTAAAAAACCCCCAATTAAGACTTTGAGAGGATTAGCCATTTCAAGAACTCACATCCCCTCCAGTTCCTGCTATTGTGGCGTATTACGGTGTCACATCCCGATGGACACATTTTACCAAATCAGTCGTGTGCCTTCACTCATCCCACATCTCCATGTAATCACACACCATCACATTCCTTGGGAATCAAACCCTTTTCCACTGACAGAAAAAACAAATACACAACAGCAGTCTTCGTGACAAATTGGACCCCTCTTGCCCATCCCTTTCACTTTTTTGCCCCCAGAAATAAGAGAAACCAGCACAATTACCTTTACCGTGTGATCACTCTTGACTTAGCACTGGAAATTAAGACATGAATAAACAAACAAATACAGACAAACAGATAAAAGCCATAGTGATGGACCTCACCCTCTGAGGGAGAATCTTGTCTGCCATTTTTCTTCTCTTGGCACTACGGATGGGGAAAACAGAGAGAAAGAAAGAAAGAAAGAAAGAGAGAGAGTGAAAGCATGTTACTATGGTGACTGATAGCAGAGTCCACAGGCCATCTGCTGAATAACTGGGACCCATCCAGACGTTTTTCCAGCTGTGTGTGTTTGTGTGTGTGATCAGAGAGAGGGTATAAGAGCGAGAAAAGGACAAAAGAGGTTGAAAATAACACTTAATCATGATGCGTAAATATACATTTTTGCACATTTTATGGATGCATGTATAGTAGAGTTGCCTTGTTGTTTTAACATCTGGCTGTCTCAGTTATTGTAAAGGGATGTTCACACAGCAATCAAACAGCAAGCCTTTGTTAATATATTGCAAAAATGTTTGCAATTTTTATAGAAGGGGACAGTAAAAATGCTACAGTAAACACCTGTTAACTGTAAGTTATATTACCATACACAGTGACAAACTGTAAATGGCTTAACATGGAATTATATATACTTTTACTTTAAAAGACCGTCAAGGTTTAAATTACTATATAATTTACAGTGAAAAAAAAACAGTAAGAGGTCATTCCCAGAGGTTCCTGCATGTGTGACATCACATTTTATTGAATTTTGTTTCTTCGTCATCTTTTATTATCCATAATGTATATTAGGGTGTAATTTTATGTTATTTAGTTAATGTTTATTGCATTATTTTATTGTCGTGTGCCTGATGATGTTTTGCACCCTTGTGGCTCTCTGTTTTACCACCTTTATCGTGGTGGTTATCAGTAAATTTGAGGGTAAAAAGCAGATTTTGATATTTGAAGTAGCTATGTTTTTTAACATTATATCACTTAATAAAACATACGGTTATACATTTTAAAATATACAGGCACCAACATGCCAACCTGTAACACTGGTACCATATTTTCTACTGTGAATATCTGGCAACCACAGCTGCCATTTTTATCGTAAATGTAATAGATCTTTTTACAGCATAGAAAATCAATTGAAAAACAGTGCAAGAACATCTTCTGTTTGTGCAGTCCATAACATTTGTGAAAAGCAGATATTTGTGGTCCAAATGTCTGAAAATACAGACATCTAAAATGTCATTCCCAGCATCAATTTGGACCACAAAAAATGAGTTGCATCCAACTGCTGTTTTCAGAAAGACGTTCCTAACTCATTTCTCTTCTATCCCCAAACATGATGCATATGATTCACTAGTGCAGAAAAGTTTTTTCACTGACAAAAACATGCCACACTCCTACGGACACCGAGAACTCCTCAGGTCCTGAGCAGAGGAGCACATGACCCCGTCGGAGCAGGAAATGACTGACCACATTCACATCCACACCCCCTCTGGAGTATAAACTTTCTCATGGTCCGACTCGTCCACCCTAAGCCACACTGCTCCTCCGGGAGAAGCGGAGTAGCAGAGACTGAGATGCGGTGGGGGTGTGAGGGTGAATGCCTCGACACTCGTCACGTATTCTTCATCTAAAATTAATCATTAATGCATTCAGTTGAATAAAATGAGCGTTTACTGAACGTAGGTCAACTATAAGAGAGAAAACATTGTGAATTAACACAAACGGCCCGCACACAAAGCTAACTGACCGCAACCGCATATTTACTCCACATGCATTCATTCTCAGGTCATGTCGACTGTTGTGTTCACTTAGTGAATGTCATTTTTTATTGGTTTTGACTTATCTGTGACCTTAAGTGCACACATGCATTTGGGGAAATGCTTCAGTCAAGTTTGAAGCTGCAAACAGGAACAAACCAATCAGGCAGGGTCCATCACAAACTGTCAAACTAACATGCAGCAGAATAAACGGCCTACTTGAAGGATCCAAGTGAAGGATCTGATTGGGCGTCTCTCATGTCCATCTGTCTTGCAGATATCTAATTTGCTGCTGGAAATCCAAGTGGTTTCCTATAGGTTGATTTGGGGTACCTCTAGTTAGTTACTTAAACAGAATTTTCAGTAACAGTCGATATTGTACACATATAGACGTTTTTCCTGAACGCAGAAGTCACACCTGACTCTTAACCGGAAGGAAGCTTTGCATTTCCAGTCTCCAGTGTTTCTAGTCAAATTAGCATATATTCCGAGCTCATAATCTAATGTTAAACCTATTAAAATGTTTTTAAAAAAGCACATGGCTCCATAGCACCATCACTTTACAGTGTCACAATGGCCGTCATTTGTCAGTGCCTCACTCCTCAAAGTTTAATGAGTGTGTAGATGACACGAAGCTGCCGAAGTTAGCTACATTAAAAACAGATGGGCACTATTTGAATGGGTTCCTATGGAGACCGGAACAGAAGAGCATCCAATCAGAAGTTAGAATTCATAATGATGGCGCTCAACGTTTACTCGTGTATATATAGGCAATATCTGCAAATATACACTAACCTTCAAAGGTTTGGGGGCAGTAACATTTAAAAAATATTTTAAAGAAATAAAATCATTTTTATTCACTGTAAGGACATTTACAGTATAATGTTAAAAAAAGATTTCTATTTTTAATAAATGCTGTTCTTTTAAACTTTCAGTTCATCAAAGAATCCTGAAAGATGTATCATAGTTTCTACAAAAATAGTAAGCAGGATAACTGTTTTCACCACTAATAATAATAGGAAATGTTTTTTACAGCATATTAGAATGATTTCTGAAGAATCATGTGACACTGAAGACTGGCTGCTGAAAATTCAGCTTTGCATCACAGGAAATTACACTTTAATATATACTTAAATAGAAAACAGATATTTTAAATTGTAATAATATTTTATAATATTACTGTATTTTGATCAAATAAATACAGCCTACATTTACATTTGATTCCTAAATTTATTTTTAAATTTATGTAGACAAAATTGCATAGATTAGATATATGTTTAGATTTAATAGGGGCCATTTATTGATTATTTGCCATGACACGAAATAATTATCGGCTTATTTGCATCAGGCAAAATGTTAATACCTGTGCATTCAGCAGTATTGCAAGATGATGAAATTCTGGCCAAGAATGTACGGAGATAAATGTCTTGTATTTCGATAATCCAGGTCTAACATTTGTTAAACTGTTTGATTTTATTGTAGCATGGTCTGTTGAATTCAGTAAGCTGCCCCTCAGCAATTACAGCTGACACTCTTACATGCATATATACAGTTGAAATGAAAACGCAAGGACAAATACAGTACTGCGACAAGACAGATGAAAACCTGAGAAAACTAACAGCAAATTCCAAACATCACTTTCACGCCCTTGGGAAGGGAATGCTTTTAGCAGGGTTGTTTCAAATGAAAATGAGCAATGGAATCCCTTCGTGAAGGTCCTTTCCGCGAGGCTGTTGGCAAAGTTTAGAGGTGATCGTGACTTTAAGTACACAATTTTGCCATTTGTGATCACATGATCCTATATGTAAAATCTTTTGGAAACATATGCCACACAGACAGCAATGTGAATCAAAAAGATTTAATATCTGACTGACACTAGGTTTTAGCAGCTACATTAACAGCTAAAAACAAGAGTTTTGAAGTCCAGTTCTGAAAATCAAATGACAGTGACAAATTTCCAAGTACAGGCTGTACCAAAATGGGCACATAATACAGTACGAGACAGTAATGCCCTGCAGAAATTCAGCGTCCTCACTTCAAGTCTTCTACACTTCTGATTAGGAAGGGCACTGTGATACTCTGTTGCAAAAGGCAATAGCAGTAAGTGTATTACTTATGATAACTGTTGCACTAATAATATTCACCAAGAAGTATTTTGGCATTTAATAGCTATCAAAATGTTGCCTGTTGTCTAAAGTTAGAGCACCTACACCAGCCAAACATAAGATAGTTCAGTCACTAGAGAACGCTATACTTGACAAGAGCTCAACAGAATAAGTGAGAGGTCAGAAAACAGTTTAAGTGGCACTCACTTTCTGGAACGGTTCTGGACGGGGGGAGGTTGCACTGGCTGGGTTGGGGCAGGACGTTTTCGGTTGGGGTCTAGGGCTGTGTTAGGCATCCCTGGCCGAATCGGCGGTGTTCCTCCATATGGTGGTCCAGGAGGCCCCATGGGAGCGCCTTGATGGGGCATCCGAGCCCCTGAGGTCATCCCTGGACGCTGTGGAGATGAGAAAAATGTAGACTAAAGGTCAGACAGCCACACATTTCTTTGTTGAACTCTTTTGACGTGTTATAGGATGTTATCTCTGTGACACACAAAACATACGAAGATACATATGCATACATTCGTATATGTATACTCATCAAACTTGTAGCTTTTAAATCAATTACAGCAAGCTGACATAATGCACAAAGACTCTTTTGAGCTAAGGCGCTGTTATGAGCTCCTCCAGTATCTGAAGCAGAACTAGGCCAGGGCCTCTCGCACCTGTGCCTGTCACTTCAGAAGCAACAGCTGCTCGCCCTCTACCGAAACGCAGAGGTGCTGGGGAAGTCAGCCTAATGCAGTCTAAATGACAACTGTGCAAACTGTGATGCTAAATAACGTCTAATTTCATCTAGTCCACATGCATTGTGCTTTCTGGAATTAGAAATGTGTTTTTGGGAATTTCTTTTCCATTTTTTTCAATATAAATCTGGACTGATTTGCATTGTAAAACCGCTATATGAATAAGTCTGAATAGAATTGATTATTTAATTAAACATAGCAATTACAATAATGTAACTTTTTTACAGTAAGATTAGCAATGCAATAGTTCACAATGCAATACAGCATTTATTATTATAGATTATTGTTAATACATCCACAAACACAAATACGTTCACATTTTATGCATACATTTATATAAAGTATATTCAATAACAATGCATATATTAATTAACATAAAACAATTTTATATTTATAAATTAACATTATCCGATTAATAAATGAGAATGTGAAAAGTGCTATGTATAAATAAATTGAATGGAATTAATTTAATTTAATTAAATATAGAAATATTGCATTTGTCAACAGCAGTTAATGAAATGGCTAAAATGAAATATAAACAATAATTTGATAGCATTTATTATTCTATGTTATTGTTCATTTCTACATACAAAATTTTTGCATACATTTGTATATATTACATTTCATTATTTAATTTATTAATACAAAATTAATTGACATAGAAACAATAGTATATTTATGAATTACCATTAATATTGATTAATAAATGCTGTTAAAAAAGCTAATTGTTAGCTCACAACACCTAAAGCATAAATTAATATTTGAAAAAATTGAATGGCACTGTAAAGTGTTACTCGACTGAAGAGCAATATTATCTTTGGGTTTTTGCCCTGTTATTATTTCTCAATGCAGTTAGTGTGCTGCAGAGGAGATCTGAGGTCTGTTGTTCATGGCTCATAATGGCAGAGTCACAAAGTCCCTGTGACTCTCTGGATGTGCACCAAAGTTGTGGAAACATCCTGAATGTGAGCCAACGTCCCCAGCTCCAGTCCTCCCTACAGTGCGGGTACAGTACATCTCTGCCAGAGATGCTCCCATATGGTGCAGTGACCCTCACGACCCGATCATCGCTTCCCAAAGTAGGCCAAGCTCCAGAGGTGTCCAGGCCCGGTCCAATCTCAAAACATCTGAGTGAAGAGGCAGTGGGCTGTGAACATGTGGACGCTGCGGGAACGGGTGCAGGTCTCTGTACGCCTCTGCCAATCCCTGGCTCTCAAGGTCGCAATGGAGGTGTTCAGGGCACAGGAGGAGGCCGCAGCGCTGGACCATCACACAGGACAAGTTTCTCAATACTTTCTCAATACTGCTGTAGCTTATAGTACATACAGTATCTGTTCAGAGATACCAATACCAGAAATATATTTGTAGATACTAATATTATTGTTCTCAGACCAAAGAATCTTTATTAATGGAGAAAAAATCAGTGGGTTTGAGATTTTAAACCTTCACCACACAGCTTAAGGCAAACTTTGCAAGTTTGTAGTACATCCTGTTAAATAATGAAAATGTATTTAAGATGTTAGAATGGTTATAAAATAAAATGTAAAAAAATCTAATTAATTGTACAAGGTCTTTTAGCAATCGTAGGCCGAGTGATCTATCGTTTATAAACCATGGAGAAGTTTGCGATCACCAGTAACCACTCATGAAGAGTCTGCTTTCAACCCCAATCCATCAGTTTATGAAATATCTATACTTTCATATTCATGAATAGCCATTTCTGGAAAAATATTTCCATATTATCAGTGGCTTTGTTAAATAATACATGGCAAAAGTGAAGCTAATAGAGGGTTAGGATGTCTTAAAGGTTGTGTTTTAGCAAAGAAGCCTCTAGAAACAATACCTTTCATTTGGTCTGATATCAAATAGTATTAGAAAGCAGCCTCAAAATAGTTGCACAACCACCAAAAGTTCTCAAAAGTCTCTGTGAACCTTTCATTCGCCCACATTTTTATGCTTTAAACACCCTGAAACACATACAATCAAGTTTGCTTCCACTACATGTTCACGACGAAATACCACAGCAGGATTTTTATGTGTGATCTACCCTTGTGGTGCTCCTGATACACAGACTCTTCTGCCTGCACACACACCAAAAGAGCATCCTCTGTTTCATACTAGTACTCGTCCCTCAAAATACAAGCATCTCTCATACTTCCAGCACCAGAGTTTCTCTATCCTTATCCTCCTCCATATGTTAAAGACAATAACCTTTCACTCTTTCTTCTACACTCGGTCCTCCACGGCTGCTCCTGTTTTATAAAAACCAATCTACATAGAAATGAATGGATAAGAGCCGCTGCATCTTAGTTCTCCCGTGAGCAGAGCCATTGACACGCTTCCACATGCACAAACACGCTCGCTCTCTCACTCACCACTCCATGGACGAGAAACTCAAACAGTTTACTCTTGGTGGCTTTACGAGCTCCTCCGGCAGAATCCTCCATGTCCATGTATAAAACCCCCAGTCTCTCTTTTGTTCCCTCTATTCCTGGGTACCTCTGCCTCTGTGCGCTTCCCTCACTTTCCCTCTCCTCCCTCCCTCCTTCTCCGCACTCTGACGTTCCCTTTCTCCACTCTCTCTCTTTTTAAAGCGTGTCGGCGTGTGGCCAGAGTCGAGTCACTCTCTCTCTCTCTGTTTTAATGTAGCTTCCCTCACAGACTCTGGGTTGGGAAGGATGGGGGTCTGTGAAGGGGGCTGTCGCTGGACCACCGTTGTGTAGTGGAATGCCGCTGAAAGCAGGAACATGGCAATCAGGGCTATCAAAACACAGACACGGTGCTGTTCCAATAGGCGGTTATGTGGCGGTAAATTATCCTTTTGCTCTCACAGCTGGTTATTAAGTCTGAGAATTATATCAGGGTAAAGTCTGAATGACTAACACTGGGGAAACTATAAAGGAATGTTTCCACAGGCAGGATTCTGAAGAATTGTCTGTGAATCGCCCTAATGGGTCCATTCAGATTATGCCTCAGAGTTTGTCAGTAAGCAAGCAATTAAATGGACAGTTCACCCAAAAATGAAAAATCTGTCATCTTTTACCCACCCTTGTGTCATTACAAATCTGACTTACTTTCTTCAGTGCAACACAAAAGAAGATATTTTAAAGAATTTGAGATCCAAACAACATTGGACGCATTCATTTTCATTGCATTGACAAAAATAAATAAATAAATACCGAGACACTGAGGGTGAGTAAACGATGACAATTTTTATTACTGGATAAACTATCACTTTAATGAAAGCACATTTTTGGACTTTCAGAGGCATGTGGATGTAAACAAGCTGTTAAATCTTTCAGTTGATCCAAACATTAAAAGGATGAGATATTATTGCATGACTACAATGTTTGGCAACTTACATATCTATTTTTTTTCTGAAAGATTGGTTCAAAATTTGTAGGTTTCAGGACAAGCTGTTGGGAAAAAAGTTGGTAAATTACTTGTTGAAATGCAATATTAAAAATCTCCACTATTAAAAAAAATATATATTTTAATCAAAATAAAAATATTAAATCATTTTAAAAAAGGAAATAAAAATACCACTGGCAAGGAAGAAGAGATAAATATCAAAATATGTACAATGTTAATTTTTTATAATTATCATTTGTAAATTGACATAAGCATTGTACAGATTTACAAAACATTCCATGCTGATTGAACCAACTAAGCACAATTAAAAATATATAAAAAATAAAGATGAGGAAAAATCTCTTCCAATAGTAGAAGACCCCCTTTAAGGACCCCCATAAAGGCTAATACTTGAGGGTGGCAATGTCCCATTCAATCAGAGTGAAGGGGGTGCTGGAGGGGGGCAAACACAGGGTTTGGGAAGAAAATGAGCTTGATTATCCATGTGCACATGCAGAAAAGGGGCTTCAAAGACCAATCTTCTTTTATTAATGAACTTTATATTTTTTGTGCTTTTAGATGCATGTTTTCTAGTCCAACACACATTATAAGATCTCTTTATGAGAAAAGCACACTGACTAGCCTAGTATTTGTGGTAAAGGAGTAAATGTGATGCGGTATTGCTGAACGGATAGGCCTCCGGTTGAATTACAAACTTCAGTATTGCAAACAACACTGTCTGGAAGCACATAGACACAATGCATAGCAGATGTTGGGCTCAAGGAGGATGTTCATCATGTAAGTTACAAGATACATCAGTAAAAAAGCAGCTGGAAGAAGTTTTGAGAGAGACTATTGTTGGTTATAACCAGACATACTATTTCTGAGCTATACAAAACGGTGTAGTCATATGGAGGCAAAAAAAAATTTTTTGTGCTTTTAGATGCATGTTTTCTAGTCCAACACACATTATAAGATCTCTTTATGAGAAAAGCACACTGACTAGCCTAGTATTTGTGGTAAAGGAGTAAATGTGATGCGGTATTGCTGAACGGATAGGCCTCCGGTTGAATTACAAACTTCAGTATTGCAAACAACACTGTCTGGAAGCACATAGACACAATGCATAGCAGATGTTGGGCTCAAGGAGGATGTTCATCATGTAAGTTACAAGATACATCAGTAAAAAAGCAGCTGGAAGAAGTTTTGAGAGAGACTATTGTTGGTTATAACCAGACATACTATTTCTGAGCTATACAAAACGGTGTAGTCATATGGAGGCAAAAAAAAAAGACGAAGCATTCCTTACAAATAACAATTGAATGACATGAGTAATAGTTCAATTGACAGGTGCCAATCAAGCGCGCAGGATTGTTTATAGTCTAATAATACTGTCAATTAGCATCAATGCATGAAAACAGCAAAATTACAATAGTATACACGTCTGAATAGGACTCTCGTGCCAAGCAGAAACGCTTTGAAATAACAAATGCTGAAAACGCATTTGCCGTATAGACTGAAGCGGATAATGAGGCGATGCGATGTCGTTGCATTCCTACCTTTCTTTCCATTGCTGCAAGTTTGATGCCCTCAGTTCAGCTGAAGAGGAGAAACCCCTGAAACACACGCGGTGGATGTCCGGCAACTTCTTCGTGGTTCCAGACAGGTCCTCGGCTACTCCCCCCTCCCCTGGGAATGAGAGCTGGATGGAGGGATGCTGGCGAGGAAGGCCCGTGTCTGTGATTTCAGTCGGGCTCCGAGTCTGGCGGCAGCGAGTGCGGCAGACGCAGCGGCGCAGGCGCGGGGATGGTCAGACACAAGCGACTCAATGAAGGGTTAAGGGGACGTCGTCAAACTACAGAAAATGGAAGCAATCTGTGCATTGCTGTAAAACGCACTTCGTCATATTAACAATAAGGGACATCTTCGCTACTCGCCGCGATAATTAAAATGTACACTGCAATAAAGGATACATTTTCCTAACTACAAGGATTTGAGTGAATTCCCAATGTGAAACGATTCTTACTCCGCTAAGCATCCATGTATATATATTTAACAGTTACACACGGTTACATTCCCCACACATATACTCATATTTAGTGGACCTAAAAGCTATTTTGATATCTAAAACCCCCATGATTCATAAATAAGGTATGGATGTCTTTCCATTATGTAACAAAACGTCATACCAGTGGCATTAATTTCACAAAAAAAGACTTAAGGTTTCAAGATAAAACAAAAGATATACCCCCGGTTTCACAGAGACTTAAGAAGCTAATCCTAAACTAAAATGCATGTTTGAGCCGTCTCAACAGAAAATATCTTGCTCTGACATATCTTAAAATATCAGTGACATTGTTCTGTCTCAAGATGCACACCTGTTATGTTTTCTTCCAAGGCATTTTTATAAAAGCTGCTTAAACGTCTTAATTTAACTAAGGCCTAGTCCTGGCTTAAGCTAAGCCCTGTCTGTGAAACCGGGCCTTTGTCTGCAATTAAGACAAAAGCTTATTTTGATACTTTTCAGATTTCACTTTTCAAACATTTCTTTTCAAACTGGTCACATGTCCATGTTAATGCAATGAACTACACCTTTACTTACTTTTCTATGACACCAATGTGAACTTTAAGGAAACTTAACTTAAAACATTCATTAAATAACATTCTGACACCAGTCTGTTGATAGTAATTGGAAAGATGACTCAGAAAAATTAAGTTAGTTCTGAGCACCATTTGTTTGCAGATGCCACATGGTGTGATATTTTATTTATAATTGAATGACATTCAGACATTTTAAGTTTGACCTTAGGCTCCAAAAATGTTTTAGGGGACTACAGTATACAATAAATTGTGTACAGTTTAAAAAAAAAAAAATATATATATATATATATATATAGACAAATGAGTCTTAAAATGATCGTATGAGCAGCAGTAAAACATTTTAAAAATGACAACACTCACCAGTAAATAAAAAGTATGATTTAATAGATTATATCTCCATTTCAAAAGCCTTATTGTACACAAATTATTTTAATTGTCCCAACACATAAGAGCAGCTCTAGCTGAACTGCTTTACTACAGTTTGAGTCTGGCAGACAGCCAGACGAGCCCCGCTTGAAACTCAAACACCTTTAATTCACATACCCTCTTACAAGCAAGCCCCAGTTTCACACTGGCAGCATGCACATGAAAACAAAAATAAGAAAAAGAGGACAGGCACAATCATCTCTATTTTTCTTTTTAAAAAAAATCTAATATATAGCCTACTTCAATCGGTGACAAGCATAAACTTGGTGCAGATGAAAAATGGCAAAAGTGATGAACCAAAAAAAACGAAAAAAAAAAAACAGATTGACCTCAGAGATGTTTCTCTGAAATTACAGCCTTCAGCAAACCTGAAAAGTCCAGAATTCCCAGAAGACATTGCCACTGGCACTGGTGAGTGAGCAAGTGCAAAGAATGTGTATCTATCTGTATGTGTGCGCAAACACGTAAATGCTGAATATGAGTGGACAGAAACAGCCATCAACGGCGATACACCCCAAACGCAACAAAACTAAAGAAGATGGTGATGCCCACGAGTGAGGCGGTGGCAGGTGCAGTGAAGAACTGCCGGTACTGGATCTGGAAGTACCAGAGCACAGACAGCATAAGCACGAACAGAGGCACCATGAGGCTGCCCACGTTGAGCGCCACATGCACCTGGTCAGCAGCTCGTGCCCCGGCAGGCACGGCCCGTGTGGCGTGCTGGGAGATGTGGCAGTGCAGAACACTGTTGTCGGCCAGGTTGAGGGAGGCCAGCGTCTGAGCGTCATCCTGAAGGAGCTGACCCTGGTAAATCAGACGTACCTGGTGCTCCTGTCCAGCAAAGTAAGTCCTGAAAATGTAATCAAACACATAGATGTTTATATACGCACAAATACGAAAACCTACACATGCTGCTCAACTTGTTTAAGAATATATATATATATATATATATATATA